TGGACGTATCAAGAGACGAAGTAAGGCGACGTAGGCCCCACGATCTCACCTTGGAACGAATATGGAAGAGTTAAATGAGAATGATAAAGATCGACTCTGGTAAAGTGTGGGTGTGAGTGTTGGGGCTAGCAGAGGAGGAGGATCGTGGCCGCTGTAGCGGGTCTGCGCCACCTCTGAGTCGGTGAAGCCGCGCCCCTCCTTGACCACCTTCCCGCTCCCGTCCACCTCGTCCTTGTACCGAAAGTCGATGATCTTTTGCAGAAAGTCGTCCGACTGCACGGCGCCTAGACAGCACGCAGCGCAGGCGCGTCTCCCCAGAGAGGGGCACGAGGCTGGCGAACGCCGGACGAGTGCACGGCGCCGCTCCGCCGGTTGGCAATGATCTTGGAGAAGATTGCAACCATCTCGGCGCGCGCCTAGCCCGCGCGCCGCCCAGTCAGTAGCAGAGCACCCGATCGCACTTGGCGACACCAACCCTTCGGGGGGGCGGTCCTTCCCCCTCCCCCCCCCCTTCCTTCCTGCCGCACGCTGCTGGCCCCGCTCCTCTCGACCCGAGTGGCTTGGGGCGCGCGCGCCTCGTCGCGCTCCTTGTGCTTCTGGGTGGGGGCGGCGGGCCACAGCGTCGAGAGCGGCGTGAGGCCGCCGTCGAGGGCGTGGTAGATGCGCGCGATCTCGGAGGAGAGGTTCTCTCGGATCTCGGGGCCCATGAGGCACGACGAGGCGGTCATGATGATGAGCTCCGAGAAGACCTTCCGGATCTCGACCTCGCCCTCGTTGCCCCACTCGCGAAAGTACTCCTCCGCCTGTCGGAGCGGCGGAGGGCGGTGACCCGACTCGCACCCACCTCTCCCGCCTCGCGCGGCCAGGAGGCTGCTGTCGCCTCATCGATCATCTTTGGCACCATCGCCTCGAGCCCCTTTGTGTTCATCGAGTGCACGAGCAGCTTGACCTGCGAGGGAGGAGGGGAAGGGGGGGGCGGTGGGGAGGGGTCTCGGTTTCATGTGGCTAAGACTTGCCTTTCGGGGAGGGGCCTCGGGAAAGGGCGCGCATGCAGCCCTA